GCTCTCCTCATTAACCAAAACTCTCAAGACATGATACACTAACTAAGTCAGCATGCAGTTCCACATTCTCAGACACATAAGTCTACTCCTAAAATTTACATAAGTCCCTATTACAGACACCTTTCAAATAATGTACAATCAAATGTATTTAACATTTCCTCTTCTGTATATGCATAATACTTAATTTTTTTTTTATTTTTATTTATTTTATTTTATTTTATTTATTTATTTATTTATTTTTTCCCTATGAGCCTGTATTTTGATCCTATTATTTTGTAACTGTATTTTTGTATCTGTATATTTAATTTGTATTTTTATTAGAATTTTATTGTGAATGTGCAAAATTACCATAGCAAATTGCAACAACAAATGTCAAAACGGTAAAACGAATGCAATCTGCCCTTGTATGGCCATGTAAATGATCTTGTTAACATCCTAAAAAGCTCCCGAGGCGGCCTCTTGAGGCCCCAGGGAGTTGTTCCTGGTTAGTGGAGGGCGCGGGACACATGCCTGTTTACCTCTGTTAGACATCAGGCGTCCCCGTCCTCCGTTACCAACCAACCAACCCAATGGCTGTCCAAACTATCACACCAGGTGCAGGGCCCCTATGCCGATATCGAATGCAATCAGGTGACGTGCGGTCTCCTCGGACACTTCAGACACGTATACGGCCATCAGAATACTGCACGTAGAACCGGGACTCTTTTGAAAAGACGACATTTTGCCACTCCTGTGTCCAGCTTTGTCATTTGTCGCACCATAGTCGCCGTCTCTCTCTGTGCTTCATTGTCAAGAGAAGGCGAAACCTCGACGCAACTTACGAGCTGATACTGAGCGTGCTGCAAACATAGCCATTTCCTGACTAATGGTAATAGTCCGTGATGTGGTCGTTCGGTTTTGCAGAGCTGACCTGACAATATTGTCTGTCCTCTCTGGTCATGGGAGGGAGTTGAATTCGTGCACGCCGTTGAGTATGACCCTCAGCAATCCATTGATTCCATATTCGCATGACAGTGATTGGATGTCGACCAGTGCGACAGGCGATATCACGAAATGATAATCTACACTTTTGATGGGCAACGATCTTGCCTCTCGAATTTCCAAACTAGCTGGTAAGCATTACCTCTTCTTATCCGAGTCATAACATGATATTTTGGGCAAACTCCGACCTTTCAAAGCACTTTCCGAATGAGAAATCCACTACACAACTTTTCTTTTATGCAGTGATTCAGATGTTCCTGCTTTGTCTAATTGCGCTGAGATACTAATCCATTTGTATATCCCAACTTCTTCCTTTAATGTGATTGTGCCGTTCGTCAGATCATTCCTTTCGGGTCAAGCAATTTTAATGGCCAGTAGTGTATATGTATATTTATATATGATGTTATAGCAGTCTCATGTACAAAATTTCAATGTTCTAGGGCTACTCGTTCTGGAGTTGCGAAATACGTACGTACAGACGTCAAGAAAAAAATCTTTTCTAAATCTATTTTAAATCTAATTTATAATTCTTTTTGGAAAACACAGTCCATTAATATGTCCGTACGTAAAGATGTTACACAAAATCATCGTTCAAATGGTTTCGAGGGCGGTTGAAATGGATATTTCCTTTGAAATATGATATCCGATACTTTTCGCGATTACAATACTTCCATTACATCGTACAAGCATGTAAAAATGCATTTAATTCCTGATAAATCTAATTAGAAACATTAAATCTTAACTCTCTCAGTTTTCTTTTTAAATTTGATCTAATTATCTTAATATGCTACAGATTATTTGTAGAACTTTCAATGAAGATTCAACCAATATTCAAACACTTAATATTTGTATTGTATTTTGTGTAACTTTACTAACTAAGTTACATTAAGTTACATTAATTACTAAGTTTACTTACACAATATTATGTATATTAATTGTTACTTTTTTCGTGGTATGTAAAAGTGTTTTGATTGATTCCTTCCTTATTCAGAATTTTCTCAGTATAAAGGGGAAGAAAATTACAAAATAAAATTAACGAAAGAACATAATATTTAAAATATCTAAACATTTTTATATTTTGTATAATAATCATATAGAAAATTATTCTAATTTGAGTCATGTACACTCTTAGACCAAAAAAAAGGAGTTGACGCACCAAGAAGGAGTTATCCGAATGGGACGAAAATCGGTAGAAGATGTACATGTAGAAAAGTAGTACATGTACAGAAAAACAAATGATTACAGTTTGAGAAAAATTAGATGATTTATTGAAGTGATAGAGCTTCACAAAGTGAAAAAGTCAGTACAGTCAAAAGTCGTTAATTCGGACACCCATAATCCGGGCCTCAAAGCTACAACTTTCTGCGCATGCGTCGCGTTGACGCAGGCGCATAGGCGTTTACGCGTGCGCGTAAGACCTTTACGGCTGCGAATATGCGTGTGCGGAAGTGCATAATATGTTTACGCATGCGCATTTAATGTATAACGGACGGTATAAGCTAAAAATGATCTAATTCAGGTAATGTTGCATTTTGCGTTGTTCCTTAATCTTCGAATTGGATCCGGCTTATTATTTTTTTGCAGACTGTTAGAGCAATTTTATAAAAGTAAGCTTGAACTTTCGATTATGTCAAATAGAATTTCCGATATATATATTTACTAATATGTAAAGAATCTAAAAAGCGAAAGTATGTTTTGAAATCCGAAATCTGTTTATCAATTTCACGCTGCTCTGCGACAGGGGGGGGGGAGAAACGCCGCGGCGCGCAATGAATTGGAAGTTGATCTGTCAGCACTATCCTTATCTTCAGGGCAGATGTTTTATTTTATTTGGCTTATAATTCCTTACTAAATGTAGTATTTCATCTCGATGTACTCCGTCTTTGATAGGATTTAAATCAAGTTCCTCGTCATTATAATTCGCTTCCGACAGTGAAGAAAGTGACAGAGAGGCTATTGAAAACGAAAACATTTCGATTGACAAATTAGTCGGTATTCTCGACACAGCAATTATAGGACTTGAACGGCGGAACTTTGTAACTAAAGAAATTATGTCTGTTTAATAAAATTAAAAAGAAAGTATTATCACATGAAACGAAGCAACTTAAACAACTTACATTGAAAGAAATGTTTAATAAAGTAAACAAATAAATAATAAGCCTTTTTTATACTCTTTAGATCATAATTGTTCTTTATTTCATAAATTACGGTTTCATATTTTTAATTTTGTAATTTCTGCATGCCATCTTACCAGATTTAAACTGTTCATCTATAATCCGGAATCGCCGAAGTCACGACGACTCCGGATTAACGACTTTTGACTGTAATTCGTTTGTCCACCTCTAGCCCTTATGCAAGCAGTTATTCGGCTTGGTATCGATTGATAGAATTTGCGGATGTCCTCCTGAGGGATATCGTGCCAAATTCTGTCCAATTGGCGCGTTAGATCGTCAGCATCCCGAGCTGGTTGGAGGACCCTGCCCATAATGCTCCAAACGTGCTCAATAGGAGAGAGATCCGGCGACCTTGCTGGCCAAGGTAATGTTCGGCAAGCCCTAAGGTAAGCAGTAGAAGCTTGTGCAGTGTGGGGGCGGACATTATTTTGCTGAAATGTAAGCCCAGGGTGGCGTGACATGAAGGGGCAACACAACGGGCCTTAGATTTTCGCCAAAGTACCGCTGTGCTGTAAGTTTGTGACGGATGACAACCAAAGGGTTCCTATTATGAAATGAAATGGCACCCCCAGACCATCACTCCTGGCTGTTGGGCAGTCTGGCTGGAAGACAACAGTCATCAGATTAGTATCCACGCCGCTGTATGGGGTATCTCCAGACACGCCTAATTCGCTGGTTCATCAGGGCTCATTTCAAAGCAGGACTCATCACTGAAGGCAGATCTACTTCAGTCAGAGACATTCCAGGTTGACTGAAACACCGAGAACCACTTGTTAGTACAGTCAAACGAGTCGTTAACGTTCGGTACACCGAGGTCAATGGTAGTCGGCGCAAGGGACGCCGTGACCTCAGCCCCCTTTCTGTGAGACGTCTATGAATGGTCCTTGCGGTCACTGAAACACTTAGTTGCACGTACAATCGATGATAATGATGCATCTGAGGCTGTGAGTGCCGCTCTGACGATTGCTCGGTCTTCACGTTCTGCCGTTTCTCTTGGACTACCGCTTCCTTCTTGACGCTGTGTGCGGCCACGGTTAACCCTTTCCTGCCAACATCGTCTAAGAGTGTCATCGCTCCTGCTCAAATGTCGAGCTATTCTCCGATAAGTCCAATCGGCTTCTTTCAGTCCAAACTACACGACCTTCTCTCAAATTCTGACATCTGCGCATATCGTTTGTGCACCTGTATGCGAGGCATAGTTATTGTCTACCAGAGTACACGGAATGAAATTCGGTGAAGAATTTTATGACCTGGAATCGTAATTTCTTCCTCTTAAATAGTCCTGCCAGTTGTGCAGATCAGATGCGCTGTAGCGACAACCGTTCATTCATTGCAGCCAAAATGTAAAATTTGTATTTTCCGTCGAAACCTGTATGTGTATGCATATCAATTTGTGTTCAATTTGCTTTATATCTTCTCGGTGCGTCGTGGCGCGCCCTTTTTACCCCCTAATTTCGCAGCTATGAATTTGTGACTAATGTTTAAAATAAAGCAACTTATTTATACTCAGACCTTTTCCTTGTATGATTTTATGTTCATAAATTTAATCGTCTGTACGCTGTTTGTAAATTTTTATTTATTAGTAATTATTAAATTATTCCTAATCATTGGTTTTTAAGTGCATTTATTTGATACTGATTATTTTATTCTTCGTTCAGAGGATGAGAAAAATTTAAATGAGGAGCGTTTAATGTATTTATAAGAAGTATTGTTTGCATGTACTTATTTCGTTTTGAGAAAATAAAAGTTACGTTTTTAATTTTTGGTTATAGTGTAAAAACTGTAATTTCTACTTCGTCATAATTTGGTGTCGACTTTCTTAAATCCTTTCTTTATTTATTGCAGCCCAGCCAAGGAGCTCCTCATCCTGGTGTCTCTTCATCTCAAGATGAAAGTAATTATATTTATCACGCGTATTATCAATGGATCGGATTCCTGTTGTTCTTTCAGAGTGTATTATTTTACTTTCCGCACTGGCTGTGGAAGAATTTTGAAGGTGGAAAGCTTTCTTGGCTTTTAGAGAGGGACATCAGGTTTTGCTCTAAAGAAGAAAAAAACAAGTGTAAAGATCTAATAATTTCTCATCTCCGGACAATATGGCACATCGATAGCACCTATATTTTCAAGTACTTCCTGTGTGAGATCTTGTGTTTAGTGAACTTAATAGGACAAATGATGCTTCTTGATCTAGTACTCAATGGACAATTCTATTCATTCGGCATCGAAGCTGTTCATTATTTAAGAAATTATACTAACCTGAAATCGAATCCATTTTTAAAAGTTTTTCCTAGAGTCACCAGCTGCACATTTCGGTACTTCGGGGAAACAGGTAAAGTTAGAAGCGTGTCTGTGCTTTGCATACTTGCGATCAATATTGTGAACGAGAAGATATTCTTGATCTTGTGGTTCTGGTTCATCATCTTACTTATAATAACATCATTGGCTTTCATAGCTCGTGTAGTAATATTCTTTTTTAAGGCCGTATTGTTGCATTTCTTTCGCCTTAATTTCCGAGTTCTGCGCCCGGATGATTTAAGAGTTATTACAGAAACTGGTAATATGAGTAATTTACTCTTTGTTTACTTTCTGGGAAAAAACATGGAACATAATTACTTTAACGATGTAATTATGGATTTTGTTGCAATATTACAAGGCAAAGCGCACTAAAAAATCGAAAATTAGATTCCCCCCCAATAGTAGCAGTTTCTATCCAGAGAGAAGAACCTGTTTGTCAAAAATTTGTGGGAAACTATATAAATACAAAAAAAGTATAAAATTAACAGAGCAATAACATTGTCTTTTGGCGTAGATTTTAGTCAAGACTTTATCAATTTCGTGGGCAAACAGGTAGAGGTCCCTCTTCATCAGGAGCAAAGAAATTAAAGCCACGGTTGTATTTATACCCAAAAAAGATTAAAGTGAAGGTAGCGCCATCTATCATCAGAAATAGCAAGGAAAATTGAAAAATTAAGTTAAAAGAATTGTAGAAACGTTAAGAAGTACTGGATTAAACTCATTAACTAAACAAGATAAAGCTTTGTGAATCTGAAAAGCTTAAAGAAAATCCAATTCGCCAAAGAAAGAAGACTTTTGGATAATTTTTGCAGATTGAAAGTCAAAATTGTGAAATTTCCCACTAATAATTAGCTATCGAAGGCATGCAAATTTCGCCTTTTCCGATATAAGATTGGTTGGTATTCCATGATATGAAACTTTAACGTTATTTTAGTTTGGCCGATATATATCAAACCACACTGACAAGAAATGCTATAAATTCTCCAAGAATTAATGCCAGAAATTAAGAATCGAACCATGGATAGGCCAGAAAATGGAACTTCTGGAGAATCTATGCAATTTTGTAACCGACAGAAGGATGAAATGAGAGCACAATAAGGTTATTAATATTATTTTTAACAGCAGATTGTCTTCTTTGTTGGAAAGATAAAATTTTTTAAAGACTTTATCAATGACCACGGGAGAAAGTCCTCAGCCAATTGTAACTAATCTCAAGTAATTGATTTCAGTTGCAAGCAAAAATTCTGAGGAGCAAATTTCCAAATTTGATGAGGCTCTACCGTAAACCTTTTTCTGTTTGTTTGTCTCCCCATGCTAGGTTATGTCACTCGATTTAAGCACAAAATGGTTTCTTTATACTATTATGTATTTCGCCACTTATTTCTTGGGAAATTTGTAGCATTCCTTGTCATTGTGATTTGACATATATCGACCGAACTAAAAGAGCGTTAAAATTTCGCATCAAGAAACTCGAGGCTTATGTCCGAAAAGGCGAAATTGACATGTCTTCGATAGTTAATCATAGTTGGAAATTTAATTACAATTTTGACTTTCGGCGTACAAAAGTTATCAAAAACGTGGATTTTCTTGAAGGTTTTCACATTTATAAAGATCTATCTTGTTTAGTTAATAGCTGTAATTCCAATCCAGTCCTTGCTAACGCTTTTAAAATTCTGTTAATTTTTAAAATTTTCATTAATATCTCTGCTGACAGATGCGTTACCTTGTCGTTTGTTTTACTCCTTTTGGATATAAATACAACCATGGCTTTCCCTTCGTTACAGATTTCTTTGCTTCTTACGAAGAAGGACCTGTACTTGTTTGTCATCGAAATCAATAGGCTTGATTAAAATCTATACCAAACACAAAGTTGCTGCCTTGTTAATTTGATGTTTTACTTTGGCGTGTTTCTCTTCTCTTTTAGTTTGTTTTTCTTGCTTTTGCCTATAAGGATGTTGCCTTGTTAATTTTATGTTTCTGCTTTTGCCTATTTAGAATTGCCAAATAAAATAAATGTTGTATTTATTGCTGTGAAATGCTATAACCAACATGAAAATGAATAAATAACATTTACGAAAATAAAATGCTGTAAATTTTCTAAAAAATATTTATGTTATTAAATAACATTTTATTTCAAATAAAGCTAAAGGATGTCAATGAATAATCTGCCTTTTCGTGCACATGCCAACTTCTAGAGACAACCATCTCATTTCGGTATACAGTAGAAGGGTTTCGTGGCGGTTTCCTATGTTCTTCACACATTATACTATAATGTGTTTTTAAACTAGTTACACAATTAAACCCGCAAAGAAATTAAGTGCACAGAAAACTCGTAGAAGAATTACAGAGAAATCACGATATTATCGCAATGAATTTTCGCTATGAATTGACTATATTGACTAGTAATCTGTCCTATAAGGGGATAAGTTTCGGGGACCATAGAGGAGATTACGAGAATTCTCAAAGCATTGAGAATGAGAGAGAAACTTTTGTATGCAGTTCCATAATTGCCAAGCATCCTTTGCTAGAGGAGATTCGAAGTTCAACTCGGCGAATTTTCGCCTTCGAAATATACCTTCCAAATTTCAGTTTGACTCTATTTTTTTTATTATTATTCCTCAAATTCCTTCAGTTTTATTTGTTTCATTTCCTGTGGTAGTCGAGGAGCCTTGGAAAGAACACGTGAAGCTCTTAGACTCAAAACGGCATTAAAATCATGCGAGTGGCCTTGATGTTTAGAAGTAGTAGCTTTGTACAGATTCTGTTTAAAAGAAAATGTTAAAATGAATTTCAGGGATGCGAATATTCTTGAAATAGTAATTCTTGCAATAGATCACTAATCAAAGAGTCCTTTAAAATCAGTCACCAATACATTCCCATTAACATGTGAGGTTACACTTGATCTGGTAATGGTAATGTTTCGTGCATACGTCTTCGTAATAGATTGAATGCACACACGTCCGAAGATAGGTTAATAACATTTATTTTATCGAAGGAAACACTTCAAAGTTTTGAAACTTTCCACAAATATAGTCGTACATCTCTTTACATATCGCAGAGTACAACCAGTAGTTACATTTCAATCGACAATGAACGTTAAACACAATGCAATCCAAAGCGCAGCTAAAGAGAAAGCTACCCGGAGATATCTCAGTACTCCGAACTTACGCCGAGTTAACAGCAACAACTGCTGAGAGCAGATGCTTTCTCCGTCCTTATGTAGTTTTTACCCGGCTACCGAGATATCTCTAGTACTTGCTGCTTCCGGAGAATACTGGAAGGCAATATGAATGTGATCAATTACAATACTTATTACGGTGATACAGGGATCGAACCAAAATGTTGCCAAATATTCGCTACGTGTGGCTGGCTACCTTTGGTAATTTCCTCCCAAATTTGGCAATAGAAATTAGTCGCCAAAACCGTTGCCAGCTTGGAGATAAATCGCCAAATTAGCGAGGTACCCATTTCCTCAAAGTTAAACAGACTTGCCCTGTATTCTTACTTTTCCGGTATAGTTTCTCTCTCTCGAATTTTTATGTAACATTACACAGAAAAATACAACAGTTTGACGTAGTATTGCACTAAAATCATCTACCTATGTATAAAATTCGTAACACTAATTTAGTTCTATAATCTGAAGAGAAGTGAAATGAATTCGCGTTATGTCTGAGAATAATTTAAACATAATTTAGAACATAAAGGCACTGTCTTGTGCTACAATTTTCACAACTCGTGATGATGCAAAATAAAATAGTCCAAATTAATTCCGACGTTGAACAGTAATCAAGGAATGCAAAATTAAATACTTCTATAAGGTGGCTCACTAACACTACCAGATCTTCAGAATTTACTGTCAGCAGCGAAAAAACGCAAAGCCTAATAAGTACAACTATCTGATCTGGCAGGAAACTACACTTAGCGCCCATGCGATACCAGAAGCAAACGATGTCTTATATCCAAAAAAGAAAAAAAAAAAACTCAGTTTAAATACTCGCTACTCATTCGAATTCTGATGAGGAATACTGAAAGCAGAAGTTACAGTAAAAGCTAAAATTATAAATAGCTTGTTTACTAACAAAAGATTTCTTACAAACAAGATGCTCCGAAAATTTGGATAGGCATGACACCAAGGTTCATTTTCCCGTCAAGACACAGTGAATCAATAAAGATCATGAACTAGTTTTTTTTTTTCAGCAAGCCTAATGACACGAAAAAAATAACAGACTACAGCGCAAATTAATGACAAAGCACGATTACAGATATTTCATTTGCTCAGTTTAGTCGGACGATAGGTACAGCATAGACGGAAGAGCTTACTAATTAATAGAATATTTGGGTGTTTTAAACAAGGACTTCGAGTGCTTATTAAATTATACTCAGTTTAATTTCACGAATGATAAGTATTTTAAGTTATATCAGTTGGATTTATCATTAAAAGATACAGACTTAAACTAATAAGAACAGCTTTTATTGCCTTTAAATCGCTCACCGTGTTAAAAAAACAATTGCAATAGGAAAGAACAAATTTCTTTAAAATTGCAACTGTCATAACAAATAACAACAGTCTCGAAACTAGCTATTTGAGAGATCGCCTGAAGAAGAGTTTAAGAATATAATGAAAATACTTAGCAAGTTGTTAAGATTCATAAGTTATGTAACTGTTCAAAATTTTGGTCAGATTCCGCTGAAAGACGTCTGTAACATCTATGAACTGCTTGATTAGGCGTGTAAATAATCATGCGTGGTGTGAAAATGCACCTGCGGTGGTTGGCGATTACGACAGCACGATTTTGTGCAGATCCATCCGAAGTTCGACCGAGAATGAAATTTAGGGGTCTCGTACCCCAGTGGTCTGAAACTGGCTGCCCGCGAGGACATTTCAGTTATGAATTTATTGCAAATATAACATTGCAAAGTTTTAATTATTTGAAACCCGAGTTTACATTATTTACATTGCCATCAAAAACTAACGTAAATAAACGCATCAGAAAATCTACTAAGAACTAATTAATTTACAATATGATATAAATCTTATTCAAAGATTTAAAAATATAAATTTTATCCACGTGTATGCGTGATTGTCAAAAAAATAAATCAGTTACGAATTTTTGTACTGAGAATAATCTTTTTGTACAGGTATACATTTATATGTGAAGAGCGTTTTTTCACAGTTAAAAATTAATAAGAAAAAACACGATTGCTAATGAACATCTAAAAGCCATGATGAATATAATTTCTAGTAACTTCTTTCCAAGGCAACAAATCAAAATAGAAAAAAAAAAAAAAAAAAAAAAAAAAAACTATAGCAACTACTACAAAATCAAAACGCTATTAAGTGTCAAGCTGGCGGTAAGAAATAAAAGAAGTTATAATTATTTACATGCAAACATATGTATTTTTATTTTTGCGTCGCAGAAAAAATTAACCAACAGGAGAAAGAGACTAAGTGTCATTATTTATTTTCAAGTTTTGTCCTACTTGGAAAATTTCTCTGAAGCGTTAGGACAGTTTTCATAACTTCTTTCAGTTTTAATTAAAAGAAGATATTTAACGATTAATTTTCATAATTGCTTTCAGTTTAAATTAAAAGAAGTTATTTAATGATTAATTAAACATGTTAGAACTATTTTAAATTAATGTTAGTCTAAAAGTTTGATATTTAGCTGTCAGTATTATATTTGTATGGTTTAGTGTAAACAACAAAAATGTCTTACAGGTACTAAACTTTAGATTTCAGATAGAAAATAAATAAAAGTTTGATTTTTTTTCCTTTGCGATGTTATTATTATTGTTCGTGTATGTTTTAAAAATACTTAGTTAGCGATATTTAAAATGTATTTAAAATACTTTTTATTATATTCATAAAATTTTTTTAATTATGTAAAAAATTCTGGCCTGTCAGCTATTTTCAGATCGTGCATGCGGCCCGCTTCGCAGCAGTCTCTCGTAAGTGATTTTGTCTAAACGGATCTTTAAGTGTTTGCTAACTACGTAGAAACTGTACCATTACAGAAGTCTTTATCATTTAGCCTATTGTCAGCTTTACTGATCGCAGCATCACAGAGGGCGGTAATTAAATTGCGTACGTTATCTTAATGTTCACAAAAAATATATGCATCTATTACCACAGAGTAAAGCGGGAAGAAAAAACTGGAGAAATAAATTATTAATTCGGATGTTTTATTCCTCTCTTTCGTATGATTTCTTAAAAGCAGTAATCGTAAATGGAAATATTTACTAATTGAAAAATGAGTTCTTTCAATTCGTTCAGGAATTACTAATTTGGTTCGTTATCAAGCGATTGTGAAATACACTTATCTTAACTGTCTGCTTAATTTAGAACCTGCCAGCGATTGGAATGATGTCACAGTTATGCCAGGTTTATCTACTTTTGGACATAAATAAGGATATTATTTTAAGGAATGCTTACATCTGGAAGATTTATGATCTTCCCTTGACATACTTCTAAATATATGAGTTTAATATGAGCACAGATATCCTCAAGCACGTTAAAACCAACCATAATTAAAACAAGAAATCGGAATTTTTTTTTCTTTTTGTAACATACATTGCATGTGACTCTTTAATCAGTTATTAATTAATTAATTATTAATCATTAACCTTATGTAAAAAACAGAAGCGGCTATACATCTTGTAATACCATGTAAGACGATGCCTAAGTACTGGTAATGCACATTTGAACCATGATCGTCTTCGATTACTCGGTAAACAAGCATGTAGGGTATTCTTAGTTTATTTAACCCATTGGTTTTCAACGGGGGCGGTACCGCCCCCCCACGGGGCAGTGGATGGATGCTGAGGGGCGATGAACTTATTTTGGACGGTGAGCTTGTTTTGGCATTCGAATTTAAGAACTCCCCAACAAATTTATTAAATCGATTATCCGATTTACACCATTTGTACTAGCAATAAAACGAACTCCGTCATGCATAATTCTAAGAATGGCGAGACGAATCTGCAAAAAATTCATCCTGACAAACAAAATAAAGATTTGTCGTTTTTCCCGAACATCAGAGCTAAGTTTCTGAAAGCACCATTTGTCTCAGGGTTACTAGCAATCTCATCAAAAAATAGGACGATGGTTT